AAGTCTACTCTAAGGTGCTGGAAAGGAGGGTTCGGCCGATAGTCGAACCAAGGATTGAAGAGGAACAATGCGGTTTTCGTCCTGGTCGTGGAACAACGGACCAGCTCTTCACTCTTTCCAGGATCATAGAGGGGGCTTGGGAGTATGCTCATCCAGTCTACATGTGTTTTGTGGACTTGGAGAAGGCGTATGACCGGGTCCCTCGAGAGAAACTGTGGGAGGTGCTGCGGGAGTACGGGGTGAGGGGGTTCTTGCTTGGGGCCATCCAATCCTTGTACGCCCAAAGCGAGAGCTGTGTTCGGGTGCTCGGCAGTAAGTCGAAGGCGTTTCCGGTGGGGGTTGGCCTTCGCCAGGGCTGCGCCTTGTCACCAATCTTGTTTGTGGTTTTCATGGACAGGATATCGAGTCGTAGTCGGGGGGAGGAGGGTCTACAGTTCGGGGGGCTGCGGATCTCATCGCTGCTTTTTGCAGATGATGTGGTCCTGATGGCATCTTCCGTCTGTGACCTCCAACTCTCATTGGAGCGTTTCGCAGTCGAGTGTGAAGAGGTCGGGATGAGGATTAGCACCTCTAAATCCGAGGACATGGTTCTAAGCAGGAAACCGATGGATTGCCTACTCCAGGTAAGGAATGTGTCCTTACCCCAAGTGAAGGAGTTCAAGTACCTCGGGGTCTTGTTCACGAGTGAGGGGAAGATGGAGTGTGAGTTTGGCCTGAGAATCGGAGCAGCGGGGGCGGTATTGCACTCGCTTTACCGCACCGTTGTGACGAAAAGAGAGCTGAGCCGGAAGGCAAAGCTCTCGATCTACCGGTCAATCTTCGTTCCTACCCTCACCTATGGTCATGAAGGATGGGTCATGACCGAAAGAACTAGGTCACGGGTACAAGCGGCCGAAATGGGTTTCTTCAGGAGAGTGGCTGGCGTCTCCCTTAGGGATAGGGTGAGAAACTCATCCATTCGCGAGGAGTAGAGCCGCTGCTCCTTTGCATCGAAAGGAGTTGAGGTGGTTTGGACATCTGGTGAGGATGCCCCCTGGGCGCCTCCCTAGGGAGGTGTTCCAGGCACGGCCAGCTGGGAAGAGGCCCCGGGGAAGACCCAGGACTAGGTGGAGAGATTATATCTCTGCACTGGCATAGGAACGCCTTGGGATCCCCCAGTCAGAGCTGGTAGATGTGGCCCGGGAAAGGGAAGTTTGGGGTCCCCTGCTGGAGCTGTTGCCCCCGCGACCCGACCCCGGATAAGCGGTTGAAAATGGATGGATGCATGTGTATGAGAATGAGCAGGTTTACTTTTTAAATATTTTTAATTTTTTACTTTAACTTTATTCTTATTTTAGCCTTATTCTACTAACCCATTGCATTAGCATTTCCTTTTATTTTATTACTTGCGCACTGCTGTCTTGTTGTCTATTGTTACACTGTCTACTGTCACGCACCAACCGCCAAGACAAATTCCTTGTATGTTTGACATATTTTGGCAATAAATGTTTCCTGATTCCTGATTAAATATACCTGGGCTATGTGCTTTCTGCCATGAATGTGCAACCTGGACTGCACCTCAAGTTTTACAGTGACTCACTATACGTGTTTCAGTGATGGGATCGATGGGGTGTAGTAGGCGGTGTTGTCCATCCCTAGTAATGGTAAATGGTCACACCCATTCATACACTGAAGATAGGAGCTACCATACATACTAGTACATACTTGAAAGAACGAAATCCAAGGTTACTTATGAGAGGCCAAATGGGCTCACAGTAGGCCAGGTTGCTGCTGCAATGGTTTAAACTGCAACAAATATACTCTAACTAACTAATATCATACGTCCAACTACACAATATAAATTATAGAAGATGATATCAAACCAGAACAAGAATGATAAGCTTACAGATAAAAATTATGAGCACCTTCTAAAAGTACGGTGGTTTGATCCAATAGGAAAACTGTAAGTAAGGTAAGCATTGTCCCAAGAAGTTGGTGGATATCACAGTTAACAGTTAATAATCCTTGTTCTCCATAACAACTGAGCCAATTTCATCCCTTTTACGAAGACCCTGAGGAGCAGCTGAAACTGGAAAAAGCAAGAACCAAGTGTTTGCCAGGTGGTCTGTGGTAAAATACAATCATCCGCATGTACAACATGCACAACACTACGTCACCCTAAAACATGTGTGTGAGGTCATCAACCCTGACTCAATAATGAATAGACATATTCCCCTCTGGCTCTGTTCTGGTCGACCTTCTTCCAAGAAGGAGACAATCCAATAGCCAACACCCTACTCTCAACATCACAACCATCTGCTATTATAACACCACTGATCTATTTGTCAGGACTTTGAAGTGTGGCCAGAAGCTTATGTTTACCATCTTAATTCCAGAAAGGAGCACATTCAGGCTGGGTTTAATGGCCATAATATTGCTTGGGACCAAATACATCTTTGAAATGTATTGCATGTGTTGTATATTATATGAAAAAAACATTCAACAAGGACAAGGAAAGGTAAAAGACAAAATTTCAACACACTTAGGTATTAATGTGACTCAATAGAATATTGGGCGTAGTATTAACCACTAATTCAGTTCAAGGATGCTCTTTAGCACTTTATATGAACAGCTGTAATTGAGTAATACCCAATTGTCGCTATGCCATTTTGTCAAGATGGTAACCTTGTGTAAAAATCTCACTTCCCTCACTACCTATCCCAATCATAAACAATAACGGTCAATGCTAGACGTCATCTTGAGAGTTTTCCCCACTTGGACTCAAACTCGTAATCTACTTTCAATCAAAGTTGTGACTGGTTTTGGTCTGGTGTTGCCAGACATCTTTAGTTATTTACATAGTTCTCGTCGTATCATCGATACGTATCATCAGTGCTCTGTTTTCAAAGTCAATTGGAAGTGATGTCATAACACTTTTGGCAGAGGACCGGATAAAGATCATATCGGGAGATCTGAGCCAGCTTCATTGTTGAATGAAGACCCTGCCTGGCTGCTCAAACACCAATGGGGATCCTCAGTTGACTCAAATATCAATCGACTGTAATCTAAAGAACCAGCAAGCCAGTGAATGTATGTCATGGTAAAGATGCCTTCATACTGCATTGAGGATCGTACTGGATTAACTACATGCATATTTTTTATAGTTTTAGCCTTTTGGATTGAGTAATAAGCACAATGCTGCTCTCGTTTTACCGAGTACTTTGTTATCAGTCTGCATATGCATATTAGTATTACTGCATCTGGGACTACGTGTAAGGTTAAAACATAATTTTATTTCAGCATCCGTGCATTCTGGAATCTTGTGGTCCGACAAGAACAGAATTTGTCCTCTCTTTTTCAGAAAAGTATTCAATCAAAGCAATATTTTTGTATCAAATCAAAAAATATTTAACTAACACCACATGAAGCAGAACCTTCACTATGATGTCACTGGTCTTCTCAGTTATCTAATTATATTACTCTCAGCCCAAACCCTTTCGGGAAAGTCAGAAATCCATAGGAAGAGTGTGAACAGAGGTGCTTTATAATTGTACCGTAGAGAATGTTCCACTACTGGGCAGGATAACAATATAAATGACGCTTTCCGGTAGTTATAGCTCGCTAAATGACCTCTTGTTACTCTATTCTCCCTGCGTTTAAAGTTATTGATTTGTTTACTTAGAACATAATATTGTATGAAATAAATCCAAGGTCAATGTGATTTAAGGATGAAGGCAGAGCAGAGGCGTAAAGAGAGCAGACAAGGAGTCTGCTGGTCCATGTAAGATTAAGGCCAACATTACAGCAATATCAGTGGTAGCCTAGCAGCAAGAGTATGTGTTGACAACAACAGCGGTCTGACATGAGGCTCATGCGGAGAGTCTGGACTGGGTGGGACACAAGTACATGCTCTATATAGTCCGGTCCTCCTCCCCCAAGGACACATATAGAACACACAGTTCAAGTATCTGACACCCAACCACAAATACACACACACATGAACATACCAACCTCCTCTCATCCACAACAATATATATATTCACACAATGTAAACGACACTATCCCTGCTGCTGATTAGACCTGAACAAAGATCATTTACAATATGAGAAAATTCCCTATCAAGAAAAAATATTCTTAGAAATAATGGAGACTACTAATAACATATAACAGTAATTATAATAATATCTAATAGCTACAATAGATTTTTCTATTTGGGCTCTCCAGCTCTTTGTCCCCTTAAAGCTGAGCACATTGTTGTTCAGCAGTGTGAGTTTACATGAGAAGGTTTGATCTTTCCTCTGCATAAAATACAATTGAAATAAAGAAATGTATTAATCCCCTGGGGAAATTATTCTCTGCATTTAACCCATCCCACACAGTGGGAGCGGTGTGCTGCCAGTAAAGGCACCCGGGGAGCAGTTAGTGGTTGGGTGTCTTGCTCAAGGGCACTTCGATTTGAGACATGGAGCAGCCGCGGTTCGGCCCGCCGACCCTGCAATTCCCGGCATACCCTTTCTACTCCATGCACCACCGTCGCCCCAAAGAAAGAAAGAAATTGATGTGTAAAGGGGTGGCAATTTGTTTGCTCATTACCAGGAAATGTATTAAGAAGAAGCCTAACACTAAATAAATATGTAATATTAATATTATAAGACGTATATAATATTAAAGGTACCTGTATTCTGTTCTGAATACTCTTCTACTCTGCAGACATTATCTTCACCTTCACCAATTTTCTTTCTTTCTTAAAAAATGTAATTTAAATATTTATAGATTATGCAGCTTGTGTCAAACTCCAAAAAGGTTCATAATGGATTTGAAAAAGCTCTTCAAATAGTCTTCATAAGAATAGCTTTACTTTTATTTTACATGTTCTTTTTTATTTATTTTTCCCACTTAGGAAATAGTTCAAATAAATCGGGATTGATATATGGTATTGATGGTTGATGGTTAATGTTCATTTTTGCCAAAGATAGAACAGAGAACGGGGGGTTGTGGTGTGATACCAGGCATTTACTTACCTTTACAGGCAAAGCACTTGATGTGGAAGTGTTTGTTCTGGACACGCAGTGCTTCCCCTTTGCACGGCTTACCACAGTTCTGACAGGGGATGGGCCCCCCCCCTGGCTTTGGTTTCTGTTTCTGCTGCTCCAGAGGGCCGTGGACTGCCTGCTGCTGGAACACTGCAGGAGATAAACAATGTCAGGTCGAAAGTCTTTTTTAGAATTGGACTGACTGAATTTGATGATGAATCTGGTAGTTCAGACAGTGTGACCAACTATTTAATAGGATATGTAAATTAATCCCATTTGTTTCCATCCTCATCTTCAACTCCCCATTCATCCTAGAGGTTATCCACGATATCATGCCAATAACTGATGACATAACTGAATAATAGATATAATTTAATATATATATATATAATACAGGTAGATGAAATCCTCCGCACTCAAAGTAAGAGGTTCATTTTTTGCGCGACCGTTGACATTTTAGCTTTTAGCTGTTCGATGGTTGCCGGCCCTACAGCGCCCCCGAACTGTTACATTATTGGACGATAAAGTACAGCCTCTCGTACCTTATTGCTTTAATAAAATATATATAAAATATATCTTACATTCATATTTCACCGTAACAGACATTGACTTAATCCAAAATACTGGTCATCACTTTGGATTACTCTACAGACAAGGATATGGAAAAAAACGTGCATTTTATATATTCTTAGATTTGTGTACATACAAACAGACACACACACAAACAAACAAACACACAGTTGTTTCTTGATTCCGTTATTATGAGGACAGTGCAGTTTATATAACCCTAACCACGTGCCTAACCTAAGTTAATGAGTAGTTTCAAGCCCAGCAAGCGCAAAATTGAATGATTTAGTTTTTATAGGGACCATCTTCTTTCCCCATAAGGGAGGCATTTTACTAAAATATGATTGAGTAGACAGACCCTCATACGGTCACAAACAGAGAAAAGCCTAGAAAGATAGAAAGTCGTAATGTTTCCAATCCCTTTTAGAGCAGTTGTGTTGCAGGGCTCTTGTTAGTCAGTCCCCGTTGTACCCCAAGGTCTTGCTGCTGACACCACTGTAACAGCATCATCAGTACTCGCCCTTTTCCCCTCTCATCATAACCCTGGCAGAAAATCCTCACGTGTTGTACTGACGGGCCTTTCAATACCGACAGGGGCATCAGCCGAATGAAAGCCCCTTTGTGTTGTCAGGAAAGAACTGCTTTGTCAGACCGGTTTCATCTGGCATCCATGGTTACTGGTAATCGGCTTGGAATAGTGAGTTCATCAAATTAATTGGTTTTGAGGAAGAAAGAGAGAGAAGGAAGCATAGGGATAGAAATAAAAATTATTATTATTATTAAATAATTATTATTTACTTAATAAAAAGTTATGACTGAACATTCTTGAAGTCAGCAGAGCTGCTTTGTTTCAATCCATGTGTGTGATCTACCAACTGAATCAATACAAGAATATGGATTTTCACTAGAATAGACTTTATTCTTTATTCATTAAATATTCATCTTTATTTATTCATATCTGTGGACATGCTAATCATTAGACAGCAAATAGAAGAGAAGGGCAGGCTTGAGGATGAACAGTCCCAGACATTTAGAAAGGGGTCCAATAATCTTTCAGTAAGGAGTAGGGAAGTGTGAGCAGTTTACTGTTTAGTATTGACTACAGACAGTTGACAAAATAAATGATGAATGACAGCGGCGGCTCGCTGGGCCATGGGGCCTGGGGGCCTGTCTGTCTATGGAATATTTCCAGTAATATCCAGTAATATTTGTAAAATAAGATATCTGCGCAAAATATATGCTTTACCCGCATGTTCTCTCCGCTGCGTATGTTTCAGCTGGGTTGGGGCCGAATCGATCTGGCCAAAAGAGGAAGGTCTAAGAAGCAGTTTAGCCAATTACTGATTAGCCAATTTATCAGCCTCCTAAAATAGATTCAGCCTTGGGCCATTGTCGTTTGGCCCCGAGGCTGCACTCTCGTCAGGGCTAGCCTCGCGATACGCCCAGTTCAGGAAATGATTAGGCAAGCATGAGCAGTATTCTTCCAAGTAGAGCCAACCCAAACTCGGTAAAATTTCTCCTCCAGGGCCCACTGTCGGAGAAAGTAGAGGTAAAACAACTGGGCCCAGATGAACCTCATCAGTCAATGGACTGGCGTGAAAGGTAATCAACAAATGCAAAGCTTCCGTAGCGACTGCTGCACCCGGAAGGTTTGGCTAGCTGGATGCAGTCGTGCTAAAGCCTAGTTTATGCTTCTGCATTTTCAGAGAGACGCAAGGAAACGCAGACGCAAGAGCCCCTTGTGCGTCCCTTGCGTGCCTTTTTACACCTTGCGTGCGTCGACCCATTTTTCTAGACTTGCGCCAAAAAATGAAATGAACGAAAATGAATCACTTTGAAGAGCTTTTGTCGGAAGCGTAAATATGACCACTTATACAACCCGTCATTGGCGGACTATAAGGACATGCGGATGGCCTCTGATTCATGCAGGGAGATCTCTGCAAGCATCGAGGGGTGTACAAAGTTGTGGAGGTAAATACAACAAATATATCCACGAAAAAAAGGCGATAAAAAGCAGCAGTGGCGATGCACGGGGCAATAAAGTCTATGATAAATAAATAAACAAACCAACGACTTCCATACACAAAGACGTCAGTATCTAGGTCGTCTTCGACAAAAAAAACGTTACTCCACCTATTGTTCTGGAGGTGAATTGCTATGCAACATGAGCAAGCCTTTTTGAACCATGAATTGAATTAATGCTCTGACATGTCAATGCTTGCAAAGATTAAAGAAAGTATACTGAGGAGAAAGAAATGAAAGCCATGAAATTATTAAAAATTTAACATCTGACTCCTGGCTCTACCTTTGTACAGATATTACTAAACAGTTTCCTGCCATCGTCCCAACACAAAACTCCCTTCGTCATCTCTGCCAGTGAGCACATTTCACTGAATGGAAAGATATTCAAGCAACTGGATTTCAAAGTTCAAACAGAATCCTGCAACATGAAAATACATATATGGATTTACTGATCTGCTATGAGGCTCTTTTTCACGTTTGACTTTGAAAATGTTTATTCTATAGCATAGAGTGATATTTTAGATCAATAGATAGATATTTCTGACAAAATATACTGTGTTAGATTTTAGATATTGTTGTAATGTAACATGGCAAGTAAGTGTTGCCTTTTCCTGGGTTTAAGGCTGCACTTTTCGTGCTAGTGACTCTCGTGCTAGTGACTGAATGGGAGACAATCCCAAACCCAACCACCCTTACATGGAACCCCATGTCTCTATTTACATTCAGGGGCAGGACCACAAATGCAGGAAGTAGTGTGCCCTTATTGCAGCAGGAAGGAGTAGTTAGGGGGTCAAGCCATGATTTCTTTTTTGCTGCCTAGACCTTGACTCTTAGAAGTAGCAAGCAGAGAAACGCCAAAAAGGTAAAACTATTACCTTAGACTGAGCCGTGGGAAAATTCATTTTTAGACAAAGATGAAGATACAGATATGGCAAAACACCAGCAACAGAAAATAATTTTACTGCAGTCTTCATCATTAACCTGACTGGTGAAAATGCTGTGTAATGGCGTAGATCAGCGGTTCCCAAACTCAAGAATGCCGCGGCCCACTTTGAAATCTGAAAATCTTTCGCGGCCCACCCAAACCTTTAATCACAACTCTGATCAAAACATAATGATTAAATGACCTTAAGAATTTAACCAAAATCAAACATCCGCGAGCAAAAGTCTGTCTCGCGTGAGCAAAAGTTTGTCTCCGCGAGGTATTTGCTCGCTTGCGAAACGAGGAGAATCTCTGATCGCGCTCGAAAGAGTTTTCTACGCGCTCGCTGTTGTTCTTTTTGACAGTAAGGTGGAGATGGTGCTTTCAGGGTGTAATTTTAGCTAATTTTATTTATCAGGATAATTTCAAACAGAAATAGCACCAGCAGTGGGAATATCGCAGCCTGTTCTCAGCCGTATCACAGAGAACATTGAGTCAGCTGGTTCAAAAACCCTTTTATCAAAATCCACAGGACATTAATACATTAAAGTGCACAGAGAAACTTTATACATGGTCTCAGTTGGCAGAGGCACCCGCATTAGTCAGACTAAGTTGATGTAATACTGATTATTTTCTCCCTGTTAAAGGTTTTCCTGTATCAATGTAAAGGTTCTGTGACAGAGAATCTCACTTGTGTGCAGATTGTAAAGCCCTCTGAGGCTAATTTGTGATTACTGTTGTTTTGGGCTATACAAAATGAATTTAATTTAATTTAATGTGTTCATTTTCAAAGTTCATTTTGCAGTGACTGAAAAATACAGTTATTTAAATCTAACAGCAATTTCAATGTTATAGCTATATTATAGGTATTTAGAAATAATGACTTAATATCAAAGACACAATCAAATATTTTTTCATTTAAATCCCAATATCAACAGGGTAATGCTATCTTACCCACAGATTATTTGTTTACTGACAAGTCCAAAATAGTGAGGGGTGTCGCTGTGACTGGTGACCAGGAGCCAGCTATGACATCACACAGCCAGGATACACTTTCCTTGGCTCAGAATAAGACACAGCCTAGAGACGAAAGTCCTGTGTATGTGTGTGTGAGTGTCTCTAGATACCTGTATGGATCCATGTGTACGTCCACATCAGCGTGTCTATTTTTAACAATTTTTGCTGTTGGTTATTTGTGTTAATGTAATTACAAAAATACAATTACATTTACAAAAATCAATGTGCATCTTAAAGCAAGTTGCAGTATGGAAAGAGAGTAAAAGGACCATCATACAGACACAAACATGGTATGTCAAGGCCTAACACTGCATCGGCTTTAACAAGGCTATTGAGGACAGGACACTGGAGAGGAAATACTGTAGATGTGTGTTGAGAAACAACAATGACACTTGTTTTTTTAGAAGCAGCTGGTAGGGGTCAGTAGTGGAAAGTACATTTATTTTCAAGCATAGAATAATATTCTCATCAGGCCGCAGGCAGCAGAGAAACACAACACGTTGGGCCGGGACGTTGCAGTGAGGCAGGCCGCATATCAACCTGCAGCACAAGTACTCTGCCAGCTCAACAGTAACATTCACATTGACACAGAAAGTGCTACTTGCTTCTGACCGGGCTTGCG